AATCCTTTGTTCTATGTCTAAAATTCATATATGAGTGAGTACATACCATGTTTGTCTTTTTGTGACTGGGTTACCTCACTCAGGATGGTTTCTTCTAGTTCCATCCATTTGCCTGCGAATTTCAAGATTCCATTACTTTTTTCTGCTGAGTAGTACTCCATTGTATAAAGGTACCACATTTTCTCAACAAGGACTTATGTTCAACCATGTTCATAGCAGCATTGTTTGTAATAGCCAGAACCTGGAAGCAACCTAGATGCCCCTCAACTGAAGAGTGGATTGAGAACAACTACATTCTTTTAAATAATATGCATGTAGTTTCAATTTTTGAAGAATATAAATAGAAGTGTTGGGTTCTAAATTTTGAGAACTGTGGCCTAGTAACTAACTGTGAACTCTGGAGTCGGGCTACCTGGATTAAAATCCTAATATCACCACTCATTACTTTTATACCTCAGTTAAGTTCTTCATCTCTCAATGCCTCAGTTTACTCATCTGACTAGACATGATGGTGTACACTGTAATCTAAATCCTCAGCATGATAAAGCTGAGGAAAGAGGCTTGAGACTTCAAACCCAACACTGTCTGAAGAAAGAAAGAAAAGGTAATAAAATAGTACCTAACTCAGATTTTGTGGGTGTGAAAATTAGTTAATGTATACAAATATTTATGAAAACTAAACAAGTCAACGTCTTACTTAATAAGTTGTTACTGTTGGTCTCGATGAATTGTAATTTGTAAACTAAATAGAGACATAAATGCATAGTAGAAAGTTTTGCCATTGAACCTCTGCCATTTTGGGGTTTGTTCTTAGCAAGTATGTATAATAGGTTTTTTAATGAAGATTTGAAGAGGTAATATAATTATGTAGGATAGTTTAATAAGAATATACATAGGTTACAGTTATATGACATTTCAGTTCCCTGCCTCTGTGATGTTAAAAATTATGATTTTGAGCTCTAGGAATTTGGAAGATTATGTGACCAGAGAGGATTGGCCCATCAAACCTTCCCACTTTCAGTGTTTAAGAAAACATACAGCTTCAAGAAGACAGTGATCAACTTGGGAGAAACCTATGTGTTCAACCCTGCCTGGAGGCTTCCCTTCAGCTGTTTTCTTCTCTAAGATGTATAGAGAAGCCAGTCGTTTTGCTGGCCCTGTTGGTGTGCTCTGCTGCTCTTTGCAGAACACCCTACATGATGCTCGAGGGCCTTGTCAGGCAGCACAACCCAGTAGAAACAGTGGACATTGGGCCTGGGCCACTGTAGTTCGTGCAGTAGTTTGCTAATTCTCCTGCCTGCTTTGTGAAAGGTCCAGTAACTGTCTGTCCTTCCATATCTACCCCAGCAGAGCAAGGATAGTATATATAGTCCATACTTCTTTTTAAATTTATTTAATTGTATCACTGGGGAGTGTGGCCAACACAGCATGCATGCAGAGAGAGCTTCTGGAGTTAGTCCTCTCCCTGCACCATGGGTTCTGAGGATGGAACTCAAGTCATCAGGCTTGTATAATGAGCACTTTCACTCACTGAGCCATCTTACCAGCCTGATTTATACTTCTTAAATGCTCATGAATACATTATTTCAGTATAAAGAAGGTAAGGTGGCCTGTAGGAGAATGGCAATTGTTTTCTTTTCCTAGATCATGAAATTACCATATTTTTAGAGTGCTAATATTATGCAGACCCTCTCGTGTTTGATGGTAAATAACAACCAGCCAGAGCATATAAAAGTTGTTCGAATTTCACTGACTCAAATGGTGTCAGCTCTCTTCAGAGAAGCAGGGACACAAAAGAGTCCATTTGGAGTCCATCTGTTTCATGTCATCCAGGCTACTCTGCAGGGAGTGAAGCAGGTAAGCTAGTCCACTGTGCTATTTAACTCTTAAATCGTGGTCTCTTCAATTTGGGCCACAATTCAAGTTTTTTAAGGATGAATAGCCTTCTATTAACGAGACTTAGCATACTCCTTCCTTCCACTTTAAGGGTATGTTTTTCAAGCGACACACAAAGCACTGTGTGTATGTCTCTGAAAGCAGGGGATGGTAGTCTTTGAGAGAGTAAACTTATTGATATGCCAGCACTTTAATACTTGAATATTTCCTTCCTGTGTGGCTGCTATCCTGGAAATACAAAATCTTGTCAAGCTGAGAACCAAAGACTTTTATTAATCCAGTAGAATCTAGTCCCAAAATTTACTGTGAAGTGAAAGTTAGTCATTTGTAGTCATGTCATTGTCCTTGTCCCAGGTAGGGCTTTATTCACACTCCATGTCTAAGCATCTACACTACAGCCAGTTCACCTGGACAGGCAGACAGTGCCTTCGATTGTCCTGATCCCTCTTTCTGACACTGGAACCTTTTGTCAATTCTCACACTAGCTGCATGCTGTTTTGTAAATACAGTGGTACCTGTCATAAAGCCAACTCATTTCATTACAGTACTTCCTGCTGTAGTCTGGCAGGTTCTGCCTGTATTGTGTAACATCTTTGCAAGGATCTTTGTCTTTGTGACCTATCCAGCTTTGAGAGAGGGGCTCCAACACATCAAAGAGTTCATGATGAAAATGCTCACTATTATGTAATCACAGGTTCTCATCTCGTCTTTTACAAATGTGCTTGTGTTTCAGGAAAAAAGTGCCAGCTCGAATACAAGGCTTAAAACTAATAAAGAAATCCCTGGATTGGTCCAGCAACCCAGAGCAAAGTAAGTCCTGCCTTTTGTTTTCCTTGTGTTGCCCTTAAAACTCCATTTTTGCCTACCAGGTAATCAAGTTTTTTTACAGAGCTTTAATAATTGAGACAGTAAACAAAACATACTCTCAGAACATCCTCAGTGCCTATCAAAGCTGACAGTTTCAGGCCATTTAGTAAAATAAATAGAGGGATAGCTTTATGGCTCTCAGATAGGGAGAACTTAGTTAAGATATAAAATAATACAAATGTTAAGGAACGTTGCTAATTGATGGCTGCATTAAAATTGTGAACATATCTTCATTAGAATATAATTAAAATTATGAACATACCTTTATTAGAATATAATGTAAGACAGTAGAGGTCACAAGACAAAGGATGACATACATGTGATAGTGTGGATTTTCCAGAATATAGGAAATAATTCTACAAATAAAATTTCAGAGAGAGAGAATAGACTAACACGTGAACAGCCATTTGACTGAAGAGGAAGCCTGAGTGGCTGGTCTGTTTGAAAAGCATTTCATTCCATCAGATTCTTGAAAATGTCTAAGTCTGACAACACAAAAGTTGGCCAAACTACAAATACCAGACCCGCTTTAACCTCTGCTGGTGGGTTACACAGCAGTGCAACCTGGGGTTGGGGGGGGGGCAGTTTTCCTAGCTAGTAAAAATGAAGCTTGGCAAACTTAATCTCCAGCACCTCCAGGGGCAGGCATATACCCTTGAGCAACATATCACATTTGTGCTGGGAGACATTTTGGAATCTCCATAACAGCAGTTTAGATAAGCTTTTAGAAGTAAAACCAAGTTTCCATCAGTAATATAATGGATTCACAATACTGTGACATGTTCTTCTGATGGAATACTACATGTCAGTCAGTAAAAAGAGATGAGGTAGATACATGTTACACACTTCAGGGCACAACATTCTCAGAACAGTAAATAGTAAGATGCTCCTTTAAACTCAATGGCATAAATAAGCAATATTTTGTGTATAAGTATATGGCAAAATAACAAAGACAAGCCAAGATATAAAAAACAGCATTAAGTTGCAAATGGTGGCTCTTGACTGGGAGAGACACAGTTGGGCCCAGAGGCTCCTAATCTGAGTAATATTTACATGATTGTTGCTTATAATAGGTAATTCTAAGAGATCTTTAACTTGAAAAAAAATATGTTGTACCTAGTACATCTCCTCAGTGGCACGGGTACTTGAAGATATTATCATGGCTTCCAACAGATGAACAAACTCATTAATCATCTTACTAAAATAGCTAATAATGTCCTAGGCATGGTGGTGCATGAGTGCCATCCTAGCACTTAGGAGACAGAGGCAGGAGGATCGCCACACATCCCTGGCCAGTCAGCTTAGTGAGTTCCAGGTAAACCAATACTTCAAAGCAAGATGCTGCCATAAAAGAAGTAATAAATAAAATAGTGCATTAAAAAAAAATAAACATTGACTCATTGTTCTAGGACCAAGTCCATATTGGCAATAAAATTCACTTTGTAACTATGACACTACCATTATATTTCTTAAGATGGAATGCTAATCTTTACTGTAGTACTCCAGTTAAGACCAAGTAAATTTCCAGGGATGCAAGCATATTTGACATGTCACTTTCTTCCTGTTCTGTCACATCAAGACCAGAGCAGAAGAAGCCTGTTGTTACTAGGCCTTCCTAGAAAACTGAATTTAAAACAATCTGCTTCATGATCACTATGAAAGCTATTCTGGGTTGTCAGTGTGACTACACCTAGAATTAACTAAAGTTCAAATGACTGGACACACCAGTGAGGGATTTTTTTTTTTATAATCAAATCATTTGAAGTGGGAAGATCCACTTCTAATCTTGATCTTTGAACTGGGAGTACCTACTTCTCATCTAGGTCTCACCGTCCGCTGGGAGCCTATATAAAGGGCATAGAAGAAGGAAGCTTTTGCTCTCTGCCCACTTGCTCTCACCCTCGCTAGCAAGTCCATTCCTTCACTGGCATTAGAGCCTACTTTTTCAGATTCCAGTGTATACGGAAAACCAGCCGAGACATCCAGCCTTGTGGACTGAACAACTATTGGATTCTTGGGCTTTCTGTTCATAGGCAGCCATTTTGGATTAGCTGGACCACAGCCTGTAAGTCGTTCTAACAAATCCTAGATGATTGATTGATTGATCGATATTCATTCAAAGAAAAATAAACACTTATAAACCCACTCAAGAGGCTAAAGAGATGGCTCGAGTGGTTAAGATCTCTGACTGCTCTTCCAGAGGTTCAAGTCCCACCACCCACATGGCAGCTCACAACTGTCTGTAACTCCAGTTCCAAGGTATCTGACACCTTCACAGCAATGCACATAAAATAAAGTTCAATAAAATTTTAATTAAAACTAAATAAATCCACTTAAGGTTGGCTGTGTCAGAGTAACGGTGCCCTGATTGTCTCTCACTCAGGTCCATGCTGCTGGTCACCAGGCCTTCCCCAGGCAGCCTCTCCAATTAGTCACTACTGTGCACTTTATCAGTCTTTGAAGACCACACCCTTCCATGCAAGCACACTGAAATGGGCTGTTCATTCCTTAGAGCTGAGTTTTAGGGAATGACTGCATGGATGGATACTGCTCAATCCTGCTGGAACAGTAGTTCTCAACCTATGGGTTGTGACCCCTTTGGGGGTCCAAAGACCCTTTCACAGGGATCACCTAAGACCATCAGAAAATTACATATGATTCATAACAGTAATTATGAAGTAGCAACAAAAGCAATTTCTGGTTGTGGGTCACCACAACATGGGGAAATATATTAAAGGGTCGAAGCATGAAGCATTAGGAAGGTTGAAAACCACTGTGCTACAGAGAACACTTTATCCTTGACACCTGGAAGCTACTCCATCTGCAGGGAGTCTACAGCTTTTAGAGATATATACTAACTGGACTCCTGTTCTTACTTTAAAAATAGCATCTCCCACATAGCAATTTGCGTGCGCGTGTGTGTGTGTGTCTGTGTGTGTGTGTGTGTGTGTGTGTGTGTGTGTGTGTGTGTGTGTGTGTGCTTTTAGTTGTACATGGAATCTTATGTACTTAGAATGCCTTGGGAGTAAGAAAACAAAGACAAATGCCCTTAACTGGGGCTGTGTAAATGAAATACAGGATGTTTACATGGTGAAAGATTGGTCAGCAGTTTAGCCAAGTGCTCTGCAGCAATGCACATTGCTTCATGGACCCTGGCAATGTGATATTATTCTACATTAGCTACATAGAGCATGCTGAACTCTATAAATTTTAAAACTACAACCAAAATAGATAACTGGCTATTTTAGCACATTCAGAGATACTGCAAGATAAAAGGCAAGGGATGGTTTCCCTGGGGCAGAGGAACACACAGTTGGGAACTAACCTTGGGTCAGCTTTAGCTTGTAGTAATTAGTTTTGGTTTGAGTTTCACAGCTGCTTATATTGGTTTTGTTTTTTATTTCAAACAAAATAATTAAACAAATAAAAGTAGCTATTTATGAACTACCACTGGGAGGATGCCAGAACGATTAGAATGAATCTTGTGCCCCAAAGTTCAGTTGGAAATGGTTGATGATCACAAAGAAAAAAAACTGAGCAGGGTAAGACTAAGAGGAACCCAGTAGGGCTTTGGATTTGGGTTGTGCAGGTGTCAAGGCAGGACATGCTTTGCCTCTGTCCACTTGGGTCTCCATCTGGACCTGAGAATTACATTGTTACAAGATAGATTAACAGGAAAAGCATATATGCTGGGAAGCTCCTTAGGAAAAAAAACAAGACCCAAAGCTTTTAAAACCCTCAGTGTTGGTAAGTTGAGCAAAGAGAGGCAATATATTTGGGGGTAGTACTTTGTATCTTCAAAGGCAGAACATAGGAAGTTAAGGTCTGCCTTAGTTAGGTTTCTGTTGCTGTAATAAAACAGCACAACCAAAATCAACCTAGAGAAGAAATCATCTTACAGCTCATAGTCCATCACTGAGGGAAGTCAGGGTAGGAACTCAAGGGAGGAACCTGGAAGCAGGAATGGAAGCAGAAGCCGTGGAGGAGTGTTGCTTACTGGTTTGCTCAGCCTGCTTTCCCATGCCATCCAGGATCACCTGCCCAGGAATGACACCCCTTGCAATAGGCTGGGCCCCCCCACATCAATCACTAATTAAGAAAATGTCCCACAGGCTTGCCTACAGCCCAATCCTATGGAGGCATTTTTCTCACTCATGGTTCCCTCTTCTCAAATAATTCTAGCTTGTGTCAAGTTGACCAAATATAGGATTGCTATGGCAGAAACCTGAAGATAGGGAGGTTCATTTTGGCTCATAGTCACTTGCTTTGTTGTGCATATGATATAACAAAGCAGCTTGCCCATGGCAGCCAGGAAAGTGGATACAAGGAGAGACAGAGACCAGGATAACATGAATATGTAAAGGGCCAGAGACAAAAGGCATCCTTCAAGGGCCTGCCCCCACTGGCCCGCATCCTCCAGCTAAGCCCCACATTCGAAGGTTCCCACCCACCTCTCAGCAACCCGTTAAACTGTAACTGTCAGTGAATTCATCAGTGATGAGCTTAATGATCCAGTTGCTTCCCCAGAACCTCCTCCTCCGAACCTTGCTGGATACTAAGCCTTGGTGGCATTGCCTTTGGGAGGTCATTATCAGATCCAAACCACATTACTGCCTTACATTTTTGTGGCTGAAGTTTCCCATGAAGTTTTCATTTCTATATGCCACTAGAAATGAAAGCCAAATGCCTTTAGCTCTGAAGCCCTTCTGGCCCACCATGCCTTCATTGGATGGCTTTGCACGTGAAGCTGATAGCAACTTCAGCAGAAAGAAAAGCCTCTGAGGGTGCAAGTTAATCTCACAGAACTTTGCAGTGCCCACTCGGGTATCCACTGAGCTTTGTTAGTTAAAGCAGACTCCAATATGTAGCTTTTTGTTAAAGTTTAGGTCCAGCAAATATTAGCCCCACATATCATGCTGTGTAAACTTGTATACCGGGCAGCAGTAATCCCTTTCTAGTATGTAGAGAGGAAAGATGAGAAAGTCAGTGGCTTTTTCCTCTCTATATCCAATTCACAGTCATCCAGTTGTGCATCAGGAAAAGAAGATGCTGAGAAGAGGGTTGGTACCCAGGGAGAGATCTTAAATGCTGATATTAGTGCTACCATGTTGGTAGGATTTCCATGTGATAAGGGCAGGGTCCATGTGTATCCAGGCAAGCGTTCGTTTCATCAGATTCCGTGTTGATTTGGATGTGTGGCTGCTAACCAGGCATGGCTGTTTTCATGTTGTCATCATTGAAGACGTAAATGGAAGTGACAACAACTGCAGATGGTTAGAAGTAGAGGCTTGCTTAAGTGTGAACTGTGAAGAGGAGTCTGAGGCCAAGTACCTTACCCATGTGACAAACCACGCTGCCTCTGTGAGGGGTCAAGAGTCATGTGAATTTAAATAGCACTCTGTTAGTTAATTAGCAAATGTTTGTTGCCTTGCTGTTGAATGCAATGTAACATATTGCTAACAACTGCAAGCAGCAGCTTGCAACTTGAACACCAAAGCCTAAAAACTGCTGTTTTCAGGGAGCCTTTTGAACATTCTTAAGGAGGTGACACAGACATGTGTCTCTTATGTTATCTATACAAAGATACACACCTATTGTAAAGTCTTTGCTACTTGGGACTTAAAACTGTTCAGAGTCTGACCAAGAACAGGAATAACCAAAGTGTGTCCATGCGGCCAGTATGGGTGCCCGGCGGCTCATGCTCTGCACCCTGAGGGAGCCTCAGAGTCTCACCCTCCCTGAAGACACTGCTGAAAAGCTTGACTGTGCTGATCTGAAGCCTGCAGGAAAGTAACATCCAGGAGCGTAGCAGAGGGAGGACCAGCACCACTCCCACAAGAGCCAGCTAGAGAGCAGTGTCAAGATGAGATACAGAACAAAAGCACATGGGGGCTGCAGGTTTGTGGACAGCCAACCAGTGCTGTCCATGCTCATGGCCCTGAGTGTCACAGTATTGCAGGAGAGTGTGGTAATTTAAGAGTACTGGAATGGCCTCTAGTCAGCAAAGGAGCATTAGTAGGTGGTTATAGTGGGCCCTCTATTAAAAGAATGTGCAGTAGGTCCTGCCTCCAGAGTAGCTCACACAAACAAAACACTTTGATGTTTAAGCAGGTAAAACCAGGAGGAAGCCAGGAAAACTCAGTGTGCACACTGGCTTTTCTACAGAGAGAAGGCTGTTTGCTTTGTTTGCTTCATCCCAGGCCCTTTCCCTGCCTTTCAAATCTGCATCCGAAAGAGGGTCCAGTTCCCAAGTAGAACACTTCCTTGTTGGAGCAATTTCATAAAGGATGACAAAATTACGCGCTATGTGTGAAAGTGCTTTGTCAACTGTGAACTGATTAGTGGTGTCACGGGTTTACATTGATTTTGTTTCATAGCACAGCTGATGGTATGTGCTCACAGATTTTAAGTCGTGGCCTTACACCTAGAAGAGAGCTTCTCATGGGAATCCAGTTCATGGAAAGCTGGAAGGTTTCAGGACATTTGTGCCCTCCTGTGGCCTCTAAGGTGTGAGGAGTGTCATGTGTCATGCTAATTGCACATAGGTGGGCTTCTCCCCACACTCAACTTAAAGAAACCATTCTAGGCCTGCCTTCCACCCTTGGCCCCAGACACTGCAACCAATGTAGTTTGTGTCTCTCTCACCCAGTGCCTTTCACCTCTGTGGAATATCAATAAGTATCAACAGGCTAGGACCAGGTTAGCACTGAGGCCCACTCTGCCACAGCTTTCCCATCTATGATCCCTGCTCTCTTCGCCTTCTTACATGTTAACCCCAACAGCAACAACTAACTGAGCAGGTGAAATGGGCGGGGACTCAAAGACACTTCTTAACTTATCCCCTATTCCAGTGGAATTCCAGTTGCTAAAGGTGCAAAAACTGGCCAGGGGCAGTGTCAGGCAATTGTTCCATCCTCTGCTCTTGTGTCTTTGGCCAGTATTCATAGAATCATATGTAGCATATGTCAGTGTCACGAGAATAACTTGCTGTGTAACACATGGGGCCGAAAATGCCACATATTGCATGTTCTTACTTTGTTCTTTTAAAGTCCCAAATGTGTTTTTGAAGAAAAAATAAATTGTCAGGCCCTACCCAGTAATATCAATATAAGTAACCCCTGGACATTGAGTGGGAGTTGTATTCCTATGCCATGAGCACTAGTAGACTTTGGAAATGCATTTGCAAGATCAGTGCAATGACATCTATTCTCGAGTAGCATTAGGGTATTTTAGTGGGAAAATCTGCAATGAATAACTGTCTGTCTGCCCCAGAGTTTAGGGGTTCACCATCACTTCCTTGAGAAGGAGAGGTTCAAGGAAGCATTGAAATATGTACTTACTACTCTTTGTTTTCCAGCATGCACATCTCTGAAAGCCAACAAGAATTCTTCAGAATGCTGGATGAAAAAATTGAAAAGGTAAGAATGCAAAATAAATAAAGTATACTATTTCAAGATAATTCTACTAATTAGAAGCTTGGATGATGCTTTTTACCCGTGTTCTAAATCTTCTGGCAAAGGATTGGACAGGAAGTTAAAAGGAAAACAAGAGTGTGTATGAAAATGATGTGTTACACCCCAAAGTCATAGGTTATTCCAGCTCATTCTAGTGTGCCAAATGGGGTAGAAGCCATTGACTGCTAAGGATGGCTACTGCCTACAAAAGTCTACCTGATGCTGCACGGAGTCTTTCAGACATCTCATTCCTGTTTCCATTACTCCCCTCCTCTGGGCAATGGCTTGTTTACCTCCAGACCACACGAGCAGAGTGCTGTTACAGATAACACACAGGGCTATTGTCTGCATTTTTCTGAGGCTCAGAATGCTTGAGTGACTTTCCCACAGTTGCCCATCGATCACAATGCTCCCCTTAGGCTGCAGCCTCCCTTCCTACAGTTTCCATTACTCACAGTCAAGTGTGGTCCAGAACTACTAAAGGAAAAGTCAAATAATAATTCATAGCTCTTAAGTAACTCACAACTATTGTCATAACTATTATTCATTGTCATTAACCTCTTACTATGCCAAATCCATACATGGAACTTTGTTATTCACGTGTAAGTATCTATGTACATTCACACGGGGCCAGTCAGACGAGAGTGGTCACCTAATACTGTTACACAGCTGAAAATTCCTCTCACCCAGTACTGTTGGAGCTGTGCTGCTATATCACAGCATTGCCTGTGTGTTTGTGGTGATACCACTATTATTAAAAAAAAAAAAAAGTACTCCACTGCCCATTGCATGGAAGGATAGCACATATAGTTACAGTATATGGTTCTTGGTAACAAAGGGCTGGCTTGTATACCTATTATACTACTCGTAGCTGTTTTTAAATGTTTTCCTTATGCATATAACAAAATAGAAGTTGGCTCTAAGAAAGTGTAGCCTTGCCACATTGATGTATCTGTCTCGTGCATCTTGGGTACCTTAACAAGCCACATTAGGTGACTGACCTATGCCATTCACATCTATGGGAGCTCCCTCTGTGATGTTTGAACAACAAAATTGTCTAGTGATGTTATTTCTCTAAATGTGTCTTCATCATTATATGACATGACTATATACAGGAAACCAGATATATAGGGTTTGGGGACCTATTCCTAACAGATAATAGGGATGGCTAAAATAATGGGGATTGGAATTTCACGGTTCTGTCTCTCTTCAAAGTCTTCAAGTTGTTTCTCTAGCCATCTATGGATTTACATTGACAGTGAAGTATACAGTTGATCTGTGTAGAAATGCAAACAGTAACTTGATCTCAAATGCTACGTGTGTACTGAATGGAATATGGAAGCCGGCGACATTGTTAACTTACAAATCTGACCTTATAACCAACAAACACTATTCTTCTTAGAATAAATTCAGAACGCATTGTACTGCAGTGAGATCGTCACAGGACAGTCTTCTGAGTTTCAGTTTTGACTATTTTACCTCCTCTTTTGATGTGTGTATTGCTAGTGCACATTTTGGTTGGATGCACACACGTGTGTGTGTGTATAGAAGCTGGAGGTCAATGTTAGCTGTCATTCCTCAGGATCTCTCTGCTTTGATTTTTGAGGCAGAGTCTCTTGCTGGGACCTAGAGCTTGCCAGCTGAGCTAGCGTTGCCAGCCAGTGAGAGCTCCAGGGATCCACAGTCTCCACATACCAGTGCTGAAATTACAGTCATGAGGCATCATGCCCGGCTTTTTTATGTGGATTCTAGAACTCAGGTCACTGTGCTTGCAAGTTAAGGACTTCATGCTGGAGCTCTCTCTAGACCCCCTCCCTTTCTATAGATTGGGGGCTCTTAGGTGGGTGTTGCTTTTTTTCAATTTTGATTTTGATTTGTTCTTTGTAAACTTCATACATGTATACAATGTGTCTTGATCATACCTACCCTTCACTCCCCACTCCAAGCAACTCCTCTCCTGACTTCATGTTCTCTTTTACAATTTTAACTTACTTCTAACCCACTGAGTGTGGTTAATGCTGCTCATATGTGTGTGGATATGGGAGAACATGGGGAACCTAACATGAGCCACAGTTGTTTAAAAAAAAAAAAAGACAACTCTCCTGTCCAACAGCCAATAATTCCTCAGCTAGGAGTGGAGCCTGCTAAGTTCCTCTCGATTCCCTGCTGGAAATTTTAACTGGATTGATGCTGTGCTGATCTCATGATGTTGGTAACCACAGCTGCTGTATGTTCACGTGTACAACAGCCATGCCATGCCCAGAAAACAGTACTTCACAGCTCTCCTCCCCATCCTCTGGTTCCTACAGTCTTCTGCCCCCGCTTCCATGATGTTCCCACGAGGTGGACAGAGGCAAGGTTATTGATGTCCCACCTATGGCCAAACACTCATAATCTAAGCACTTAAAGCAACCACGCCTCTCTGCATTAACCATTCCCCACTGCAGAGAGAAGCTACTCTGAGCAGAGTTGGAAGCAGCACACGCCTACTGATAACAACATAAGCATTTAGAAGGCAGTTTGACAACATGACCATTTAGAAAAACATCAATAGGTTCTCCTCTATGACTTCCCTAGCCTTAGGCTTTCACCATGTTTTCAGTATCATTCATGAATTCCCTCCTGAGAAGCAGACCTCAGATCCGATCGAAATTGTAGTTGGTTACCCCATTAACTGCCTTGCCACCATTGCAGCAATGGGTGCGTCTTGTCTGGAAGGTCAGTATTATAGCAGGCAGAGTCCTGCCATGGATAAAACCCTTGAATTCTTCATCCCCCAGCAGCCTGCATAGCACCTTCCAGCTCTATGAAAGCCAACCAGGGGGAGAGTTTTCTGGTCAGCTCAAGGCTGATTTCTCCATGTCCTGCCACCAAGTATGTGATGTCTCCAGAAGTAAGATCTTACCATCTAGTTATAGTAGACAAACAAGAACAATGGCTATAGTCTGTATTATTTTTGGTGCCTCTGGGTGTTCTCTGAGGAATAACTTGTATGGAGGTAACCCATGCCTGGCACGAGATTTTCACTTAATAACAGGTGTCTTTGGAGAGCAACATTATTTACTAACATGGGGTACTTCTGTTCAGACTCCTTTCAAAAATATTTTTAATTAGCTTGCATACTAGTGGAGTTTCCTAAGGCTTCTTCATGCATCTGTAATTATAGTTAACACACCCACCCCTACCTCTCCTTTATGCCACCCACATCCCTGTCCCACTCAAACTTTCAGCTTCCAGTATTCTCCCATTTCCTTCATAACCCATATGTTCTACTATCTCCTCTTAAGTTTTTTCATTTGCACCACAGAGTCATGAGTCCCCAAGTAGCTTTGTCATGCAGACACCATTTTAGTTAAGCCTTTCCCTGGCCTCTTATTTCCCATCCTTCTCACTCCACTAACTGCTTGAGCCGTTTTCCCACCAATATTCCCCCTCTCTACTTTTCATTTCACTTGTATTTTAGTAGCTTCTCTGTGCTAAAAACAAAGATCTGAAGCAAGAATACACCTATGAGAGAGAATATGGGCGTTTGTGGGTTTCATCTGGACATCTCTTCCTGAAATCCTGCCTTATGGTTGGTCACACAATTTAATGCAAGGTAGAAATCATCTTAAATTCCTAAGAATTTCAGAGTTGACCCAGTATCAAAGTGGAACTGTGAAAGAGTAAGTTCATAGTTTTCTTTCTCATTGAAAGACAACAGTGTCAAGGACATCACAAGAAAACCCACAGAAGCAATTAACTTCCTTACAAGAACTCTCGGAGTCTGAACCAACAATTAGGGAGCCTGCATGGGACTGACCTAAGCCCTCTACGTGTAGCTTGGTCTACTTGTGGGACTCCTCACAATGGGAGCAGGGGAATGTTCCTAATGTTTTGCCTGGCTCTTGGGAACCTATTCCTCATACTGGATTGCCTTGCTCAGCATTAATGGAAGGAGAGGCGCTTAGTCTTGCTGCAACTTGTTATGCCATGCTTTGTTGACACTCATGGGAGGCCTGCCCATTTCTGAACAGAAGGGGGGGTGGAGGGGATGGGGGGAAGAGGGAATGGGAGGAAAGGAGAGGGGAAACTGTGGTTGGGATGTAAAATAAATAAATTAAATTTTAAAAAGGAAGACCAGCAGCTACCACCAATGTAAAATCTAGAGATGGTTAATGAATTTAAATGGTGCTCTGTAGAGTTCCTAGCCTGTATAGAAGTATTTTAAGTGTGTTTTTTTATTTTCAGTAAAATATTGGCATACGTCTGACTTGACATTGAAAACTTCATTTCAGATCAATTACCAACTTTCACATATTGGTTCAAAAGATGTTCCGAATGCTGATATCATTTTGTTTAGTAAAGAAAAGCAAAAAAAGAAAATTGTTCCCACTGTAATAAAGATCTTTTCTTTTTCTGTTTATTTGGCCTTTTTCCACTACTAGCTTTCTTTTGGCAATAAAAAAGATTTGCTCAGTGGCTCAGGGTAGACTGGGAAAACTAAAACCTGCATTTTAAGTTAGGTTTTCAACATTTATGAGCGCTGATAGGCATTAAGATGACCTCGTCCCTTCCCAGCAAGTTTCCATGACTGAAACTGTCTCCTTTTGCCCAGAACCGAGTTCATCGTTCCTGTCTAAAGCAAGACTTCCTTCTGCCCCTTGGATAGGGCATGACATGTTCACAACCAAAACACCAGTTCTGACTAAACTATGCCCTGGGTAGAACCTTCCCTAGACAAGGAGTATTTTAAATTCAACATGAACAATGCCCCCACTGTTGGACACCTTTTCTTTTTCTTTTTTTCTTCTTTTATGTTTGGTTCTGATAATCAAACGCAGAGGCTCATACCTGGTGCCTGCTGGGCAAGTGTTCTGCTTCTGTGCTATGCCCCAAGCCCAGATATATTTATATGTAAAAGAAAGCTGTTACTCCATCTGCCATGCACTCACTTGCTTTGTACAGATAATCCCTTGGCCTAT